CACCTGAAGATGACCAGGGGGCACAACAATTTAAATGTTACAATAACAATGATGAGGACATTGGTCCGAATGTAGATAATGTAATTATATAATTTATTTCTTCTGCTGCCTGAAACAACCTTAAGAAAAGAAGTGGGGGTGGCACTATGTCTTCATTTCTGGTAGATAACCAGATTTTGATGTTTGGTGGCATTGTCAGCCAATGTGAATGTTTTTGCCTACAAATATATTAAATCATGAAAAGCAAGATTTCATTCATACTTCTTTTAATAAAAAACTAAATATTTTTAGGAAATGAATGATCCCTCTGTGATATTTTATGTATTGAACTATAAGTAATAAAGGTTCAGAATATGAAATGGAAAAATAGTTTCCAAAAGGCTTGAGAAGGTTTTACAAGAAAAAAAAAAAAAAAAAAAAAAAATTAATAAATAAAAAATTCTGATTAAAAAGAAAAAACAGCAGCATGTCACAAAATATGATTACTTGAACTAATGCATCTATCTACCTCAACAATCCACCCACTTATAAAAATAACCAGCAAAATTGGTCAAGGTAAAACAAACATTCCAGAAAAAAATAAACAACAAGACATAACAAAGACAACAAGCAAACAGTTAACTCGAAAAAATACAAAGGAAGGGATACAGTAAACAACCAGAAACAAATTTATATATATATATATATATATATAAAAAGGAAAGGTAGAAAGTGATGGCAATAATAGGAGTCAAAGAAGCATTTCTTTTTCTGCATTTAGAGAAAACAGAAAAGATATATTGATAAATATGATATTGATTATTGACCTAGGTAAGGTATTGGTCAATGTTAGCATATTGTCAAAAGATTTTTATATTCAATAACTGTATTAGGCTAACATCAAATAACTTTGAAAACACATTTTAAAATTTGTAGAGTAGAAAAAATGATATTGCTCTTTGGTGGGTTTAATAGCATTCATTGCAAGAATCATTGTCCTTGCTGTTACAGGTGACCATCTTGAACTTTGTGGTATGCCTTTATAACATAACCAAAGTTTTTATATTATATATATATATATTTATTCTCTCAATCAAAAGCATTTTTGAATATGAAACATTTAAATATTAGTCAGAAAAGCCCATCTTTTATAAAATTTAATACTGGGTAATTATCTAAAAAACAAAAAATATACTTTAATTCTATATAAAAAAAGAATATTTAATTCTTTTTTTTAAAGGTTACTCATTGGTAAAATACTTTAATTAAATTTAATATAAATACTAAAAATTAAATATTTATTTCATTCTGGAAAAGAAAATTTTTTTTGTTCAATTTTAAAATTTTAGATATTTTGCCTTCATAATGCTTACACTTTTTCAAAGATTGGAAAAAGAAATAAAAAATACTTTTCATTAAACTTTTACAGAATTTAAATTTAATTTTGTTTTAAAGCACATTTTTCAGGAGTGCATAAACTAATTTGGATTAAGTCAGGCAATCATGTAAAAGCCATTGGTCTTGAATCTTGTCAAGTATAACCCAGCATTGATTTATTAACAGTCATTAAAAAAATGCATCAGCCACTCATCTTTCCACAGATAGGCCACTTTGTAGAATTCAAAAAAAGAAAAAACAAAAAAGAAAGCTTTTGTGGCAGAAAGAGTCATTTTTGCCTAAAGCATACTTTTATGGAATATTATATATTAACTACAAATGTTGATAAATCTACCCCTCCATCAAAATTGGTCAGTAAAAGTAACTCGACAAAACACATCAAAATACTGACACAGTTTTTCCTCCAATTGAGGTTTTGTGTATGTAATTTATGAGGGTAAAAAGCTTACTAAGAAAATTAAGCCACTATTCAAACATGAAAAAGCTAAAACTATGAAAAAAAGAGATATTTTGAACAAGATTAGGTTTTGTTGAGTTCTGTTAACCCTGTTGGTTGATGGGACATCTCCCAGAATATTGGCTGTTTATCATCAAGTACATCTCTAGGGCATTTTTCAACAACCTGGTGGTGCCCATCCCCTCTCCAGGATCAAAAAAATAGATTAAAAATAAATAACCATTCATAAAATTCAGAAGAAAAAATATCAGCCAGACATCATCTTCAATGGGTCAACCTTAAGAAAACAACACCAAATTTGAATAAGCCCATAACCCTTTTGCCATTCAAATTAATAGGCTTTAGCAGATTACTGAAGCCAAATATTTTAGTAAACAAATTTATATAGCAATAATAATAATAAAATGAAAATTTAAAATATTTTTTTTTATCAATATCTCATCTTTGTTGTTATATTCACAATGTTTCAGCCGTTGTATGCTCCTGCCTTCTTCAGATGATTAGAATTCTGAACAAAATCCTTTATTTCATCCTCCAGAGTAGATTGTTCTAGTTCCATGTGCCATGTCTCTTCTGGATATCTCACATGAAACAAGAACAATCTACCCTGGTGGAAAAAATAAATGGTTCAGTTCAAAATTCCAATCACCTGAAGAAGACCAGAGTGTACAATGGCCAAAATGTCATGAATATAACAACAAAGATAAGGACAACCGTCTGAACAATACCTCATCTCAGAAATATAGACAGATATTTTTTATCAGTTTGGCACCAAAAGGGTTAATGAAGGCAGCATTAAAAAAAAAAAAAAAAAAA